AACTGTATTTAAAGGGCCAGAAGGTTGAGAACCACTGTTTTAGATAGTTCCTCTATACCTCTCAATTTCTAGAGCAGGACAGTGTTCAAGGCTGTTTCTGACTAATTGGATCAGACAAAGACTCAAACCCTCCAGAGACTGCACTGCCTCTGTCTACAGACTGATAGGATTCTGACTCGAATAGCCCCAGGCAATCGTCCTCAGGTGTGGTGAGAGTTTTTATCAATGGGGTGGGGCAGTTGCTTCTCCCTGGAGGCTAATTGTTATTTTTAATTTCTTAAGTAGCCTCAGGGCAAGGTATTTTCCAATAGGGTGTGTTGACTGTCTTGCCCCGAGGCAAGGCAAATGTGTATGTGGGAAAGATGTCCTCTGCTGTGTGAGGGAATGACTCAGCGCAGGAAACTTGGGGTGTCTGCCTTCTGAGCTCTATGCCCCAAATCCCCAGTCCTGGGTTCTGCTCTCACAGCTCCAGTCCACTTCATCCTCCCACTGCCAGAGCACAAGGTGGGTGGCTCCACAGGGAATTTTTGTGCATTGACCTTTTAAGAGTGTGCCCAAACTTTCAGCTGCCACTCCCTGGCAGACAGCAACCCACTGCTATTCATAGCTGACGTTATGTGGGTACCCTCCTCAGATTTGGTGCTCTCTGCTGGAGAGCCCAGCTTTTGGATTAAATCCCAGAGTTCTCAGTGGTACCCCCCCACAGCTGAGATAGCTCTCCAGGACTTCAGTTCCTGTCTGTGGGTGCCCGGCCAGCCCTTTCGAGCCACTGCCCCTCCTACCAATCTCTATGTGGTCTCCATCTTCGGTCCTTGGGTATCAGGATTCTCTCCTGTGAGTTTTCTGTTGATTATTCAGGAAGCCTTTCCATATTTGTTGTAATTCCAGCTTGTTTGTGGGAGCATGTCCACGCAGCAGCCACCTACTCTGCTGCCATTTTTAATCTCTTTGGCTGTTTCTTATAAAACTAAATATATTCTTAGCGTTTGAATCAGCAATTGCAGTCCTGGGTATTTACTCCAAAGGAGTTGAAAACTTATGTCTAAAGAAAAACCTGTTCATGGATGTTTATAGCAGCTTTATTCATAACTGACTAAACTTAGAAGAAACCAAATGTACTTCCATAGGTGAATGAATAAATAAAATGTAGTACATCTAGCCAAAGAGTTATTCAGCACTAAAAAGAGGCTATCCAGCCATGAAAAGATATGACAGAAACTTAAATGCATATTACTACATGAAAAAAAAACCAGTCTCAAAGGCTATATCTATATGATTCCAACCATGTGATATGGTTGGAAAAGGCAAAACTATGGAGGCTGGATTTTTAGGGTAATGAAAATACTCTGTATGACACTATAATGGTAGATATGTCATGCATTTGTCCAAACCCACAAAATGTACACCATCAAAAGTGAACCCTAATGCAAACTATGGGCTTTAGATAAGGATGTGGTAATGTAGGGTCATCAACTGTAACAGATGTACCACTCTGGTGGGTGATGTTGATAACAGGGCAGGCTATGTGTGTATGGAAGTAGGTGGTATGTGGAAATTCTGTACCTTCTGTTTATTTTTATTGTGAACCTAAAATTGCTCTAAGATGTATCAAAAAATGTCTACGCCCGGACACTAGCTCAGATCTGTCAATCCAATTTATAATTATCCTTTTAAATGTACCTATAAAGCAAAAGCACCATAAAAGCAAACAACAGCACTGGCTGTTGCGGCTTAGTTGGTTGAAATTTGTCCTATGCACCAAAGGTCACTGGTTAGATTCCTGGTCAGGGAACAGCCTGGGTTGCAGGCTCCAACCCCAATTGGAGGCATGCAGGAGGCAGTTGATCAATGTTTCTCTCTCACATTGATATTTCTCTATCTAAAATCGATCAAACAATTTAAATAAAAAGTGAAAATTAAAAACTAACCAAAAAGTAACTATTGGTTTATTTAAATAATAATAAATATTATATATAGGTTGTAATTCTAGCAAGAGCTAAGAACAGAAAATTAAAAATTAATTTTTAAGGAATTAAAAATTAGCCCTAACCGGTTTGGCTCAGTGGATAGAGCATTGGCCTGCGGACTCAGGGGTCCCAGGTTCGATTCCGTTCAAGGGCACATACCTTGGTTGCGGGCACATCCCCAGTAGGGAGTGTGCAGGAGGCAGCTGATCGATGTTTCTCTCTCATCGATGTTTCTAACTCTCTATCTCTCTCCCTTCCTCTCTGTAAAAAATGAATAAAAATATATTTAAAAAAATTAATAGAGAAATGACAGCCCCACAAAAGGATCAGATAACACAATGCTATTTCCAAAACCAAAATCACAGGTTAAGAGATTCCTGAAGAATTATAAAACAAGAAAGCCTAATTTATTGTCCTTAGATATCAAGATTAATTCCCAAACACTCCAAGTTTGGGACAGAAGCAAGTAGAACTTGCGAAGTAAAAGTGGTAAGAGATATGTGGCCAAATCAAAAGTTTCACAGGTCTTCTAGTGGAAGAGAATGTAAATTAAAAATGAGAAGACAAGAACATTACAGAGAAACCAAGATGGTGGCATAAGTAAACACCGGAAATTGCTGCCTCGAACAACCACTTGAAAAATACAACTAAAAGACAAAACGGACATCATCCAGAACCACAGGAAGGCTGGCTGAGTGGAAATTCCACAACTAGAAGGAAAGAGAAAAGCACACTGAGACTCAGAGGAGGTGCGGAAGTAAAGTACAGAGGTACGGAGGCGCACATGAAAAGGGCTGGCAACTGAGAACGCGGTTGTCTTTTTCAATCAGGAGGGAGTCTCAAGCTCCCGACTGCTCTGAACTCCAGTTCGGGGTGAGTCTCTGGGGACCCAGACTCATACGGGGAGAAACTGGACTGTCTGGCATCGGTCGGAACTCCAGGGTGGCTTTCTCTCAGAGGTGCTTGCAGTGATTACCGGGACACTGAGACGCGGGGCCTCTTAGGGTAGGACTGAGGATCAGCCATAGCTGCTTGCTCCGCCCTGTTGATTCCCTGAGACCCCGCCCCACCCAAGCTGTGCATAGAGGCTTTGGCATATGAAAGGCCTGGCCCTTTGCAATCTGAAAATTATCTAACAAACTGCAGCTGGGTCAGAGAGACCCAGAACTTCCAAAAGAAGGCCCAAGGCTCCACAGCTGCTTGGATTGCTTCACAGCTGGGCCTCATCTAGGCACATCCAAACCCCAAACAAATAAGAGGAATCTGCAGATTTCTCCATAGCTCCTGTGGGTAGCCTCAGGCAGAGGCTAAATTAGCACCTCCTTAGAGATCCAAGAGCCAGTGTACCAGTGGTCAGAGTGGGACCATACAGATTACAACTCCTCAGACCCATAAGGGACACACTCAGGGGGCAGACTCAGTGAGCACTAAAGCCCCACTGAAGCAAGTCTTGCCCCAGAAGGGTGTCTCCAGCACAGAAGTTCTCCCACTGTAGACACAGCTGATTCTCACAGACAATTGGCCTGGAGGTCAATTCCTCCCAGTGATACCTATAACAATCAAGGCTTGACTACAACAAGACTGTGCACAAAGCCCACAAAGGGGTGCACCAAGAGTGTCCACCTCAGGTAATTGGGGAGACTGAGCCACTGGGCCCTATAGGGCACTTAGCACAGAAAGCCACTCTATCAACACAGGGAAGCATAAAAAATGCGGAGACAAAGAAACAGGTCACAAATGACAGAAATGGAGGAAAGCAAACTACAGGATATAGAGTTCAAAACCACACTTATAAGGTTTTTCAGGAATTTTCTAGAAACCGCCGATAAATTTAGTGAGACCCTCAAGAAATCTAGTGAGACCCTCGAGGATATGAAAAAGGACCAACTAGAAATTAAGCATACACTGACTGAAATCAAGAATATTATACAGAGTTCCAACAGCAGAGTAGAGGATCGCAAGAATCAAGTCAAAGATTTGAAATAAGAAGAAGTAAAAAACACCCAACTGGAAAAGCAAAAAGAAAAAAGAATCCAAAAATATGAAGATAGTGTAAAGAGCCTCTGGGACTTCAAGCGAACCAACATATGAATTATAGGGGTGCCAGAAGAAGAGAGAGAGCAAGATATTGAAAACTTATTTGAAGAAATAATGACAGAAAACTTCCCCTACCTGGTGAAAGAAAAATAGACTTACAAGCCCAGGAAGCGCAGAGAACCCCAAACAAAAGGAATCCAAAGAGGACCACACCAAGACACATCATAATTAAAATGCCAAGAGCAAAAGACAAAGAGAGAATCTTAAAAGCAGCAAGAGAAACACAGTTAGTTACCTACAAGGGAGTGCCCATATGACTGTCAGCTGATTTCTCAACAGAAACTTTGCAGGCCAGTAGGGAGTGGCAATAAATATTCAAAGTGATGAATAGCAAGGGGCTACAACCAAGATTACTCTATTCAGCAAAGCTATCATTTAGAATTGAAGATCAAATAAAAAGCTTCACAAATAAGAAAAAGCTAAAGAAATTAATCACTACCAAACCAGTATTACATGAAATGTTGAAGGGTAATCCTTAAGAAGAGGAAGAGGAAAAAGAAGGAGGAGGAGGAGGAGAGGAGATAAAAAATATAAACAATAAAATGGCAGTAAATATATATCTATCAACAATTGAATCTAAAAATCAAAATAAACGAACAAGAAATCTAATGAAAATAAGTGATGAATATAACAGAACCAGGGGCATGGAAGCATGGAACAGACTGACTAATCTCAGAGGACAGGGGGGAGGAGGGGAGCGAGAAGAGATTAACCAAAAATCTTATATGCATATATACATTACCTATGGACACAGATAATAGGGTCGTGAAGGCCTGGAGTAGAGTTGGAACTGGGTGGAGGGGGACTATACGGGGAAAGAGGGGGACATCTGTAATACTCTCAATAATAAAGATTTTAAAAAAAAGAGTTTACTACAAGGAGACTAAAAAAAGTATCTAAGGCAACAATAACATAGATGAAAGCAAAGGGACTTACAGTTAGTGATATCAGGTGGTGCATAGCCATCATTCATATACATACTTGTAGGTTTTGCCACTTTCAAATAAACAAAATCAGATGTGTTTTTTAAAGCAGTCACTGCTTCTTCATGAGTAACTTCTTCTAAACACACACTATTCACCTAAAAGAAAATCACCAAGACATTTATTTTAAAACACGTTCACTTGCTTTCTGCTTTTTTGGTGGTAAATATTTACATCAAAGATAAGAAAAATATGGGATTGATGTAAGGAATATAAAGGTGTGTGGAAAGAAAATACCCATTTTTATTGTCTATGAAATTAGAAAGTTGTTTATGATAAGTGAAGTTGTTTATGTATGTTAATGAAATAGCCAATTTTGATTCTAGCCCTCTTCTTCCCAATCCCCAAGACTGAACTCTTCCTTCCACTCTGTCAGAGCACTTACTCCTGAACCCTGCTTGCTGGGCCAATTGTGGGAGTAAGTTCCTCCTTGATCATGCTTGATTATGCCAACTGTGGGAGCACAAGTCCTTTTCTGCTAGGGGCTGTACCCCCTTGAATGCTGGGTATTAAACAGAGAAGATATGAGAAGTGGTAGGCAGATAAGAGACTTTCTTGGAGACCTAGTGGCCATTGCTAACAAGGAGCCATCAGACAAAGTAGCCCCACAAAGCAGCCACGCAAAAGCGGCCTCACAAAGTAGTCACAGCAAACAGGAGCCAGCCGCCTACTGGTCAGCAACACACTCTTATAGCAACTTGGACAAAAGAGAGTTCTTGCCAAATAGTGACATCAATATTTGGGTTATAGAAACATATGCCTGGGCAATGCATACAGTAAAACTGCTGTGTCCTTGCCTTTGCACATGCGTATGGCAAATTGTCCTTGAACATCCAGCCTAATCCTTTGATTAGGGCTCCCACACACTCTTGGGCATTGAGGAATGTGTGTAGGTATATTTTAGTTTTGTTTTTTTAAAGAAACTGAAACTGTAAGGTTTTTGTTCTGCAACTTGATTTTTAATATAAGGTATCTTAGAGATCATTCCATGTTGGGCCACAAAGAATTATCTCATTTAAAAAACTATTGTACAGTACCCCATTGTGGAATTCTATTATAATTTTTAAGCCATTCCAATCTTAATAGATTATTTAAACTGTTCTTCTACTCAGACCTTTGCAAACACTGAATATTATCAATTTACCATATAAATAGAGCCTGCAAAATTGTGCATTTTAATTTGTACATCAATTATATTTAAAATTTAAAAATATATTTCTTTATTGATTTCAGAGAGGAAGGGAGAAAGGGAGAGATAGAAACATCAATGATGAGAATCATTGGTCGGCTGCCTCCTGCACCCCCCGACTGGGGATCAAGCCCACAACCCAGGCATGTGCCCCCGGCCGGAATTGAACCTGGGACCCCTCAATCCGCAGGCTGACGCTCTGTCCACTGAGCCAAGCCGGCCAGGGCTATATTTAAATTTGTATTTCTACTGGTAATAGTCAAGTTGAGATTTTTTTCCAATTATTTATTCACCATTCATCTATTTTCTGTGTAAAAACAGAATTGATTTTTAGGTGGTGATGGTGTATCCTACAACCTTGGTAAACTTGTTTATTAGTTATGTTAGGTTCCATAGGATTTTCTATATACATTATGACATAACCTACAAATACAGTTGTACATTTCCTTCTCAATCTGAATGTCTTTTTCATTCTTTGTTGTCCTATCAGTGCAACAGTGAATAGAAGAGGTACTTTGTGTCTTTCTTAAGAATTTATCCATTTTATCTAAGTTATCTAATGTGTTGGTTGGCATATAGTTGTTCATAAATAAAAGTGTTCCCTTATGTCTCTTCTTTCATTCCTACTTTTAGAAATGAATCTTTTTTTTTTTTTTGTAAGTCTAGCTAAATGTTTGTCAATTTTGTTAACCTTTCAAAGAATCCAGTTTTGGTTTTGTTGATCTTCTTTATGGTTTCCCTACTGACTATTTCATTAATTTCTGCTCTAATCTTTAGTATTTCCTTTCTTCCCTCTGCTAGCTTTAAGCTTAGATTGCTCTTCTTTTTGGTAAATTTTTTTGGCAAAGAAATACTATAAATTTTTCTAATGTCTTAAATTTAGAATGTACTAAATAAACAAATATTTGGTTTAGTATACTTTTTATTGTCCTAATTTGTACCTTTATAATCAACAGGAGAGTTTTCATGTTTTGACAAATGTTTTGACAAAAATTTCTAAATTTTTGTCAAACCATAACTTTCCCTACTGATTATTAATATTGCCTTTCAGGGTTTCAGCTGCATAATAATTTTTATGGTCCCAAATTATTGTGTATAGTGAGGACTGCTTGCATTTTGAAATACATAGCTGTGGTATATTGTTCCTTTGGTGGCCTGCAATGAGCCATACATCTTGGTATTCATACCCTTGTAAAATCCCTTCCTACAGTGAATCTTGCTTGGCCTTGTAACTAGCTTTAGCCAATGACATAATAGTAACTGATGTAAAGAGAGGGTTGATAAATGCCATACACTGGAGCTTGTCTTCTTGGAAGGCTCTCTCTTGGTATGTCCCTCTTGGAACCTACCATCCTGTGAGAAGTCCAATTTAGCCATGTGGAGAGGACACTAGAGAATTAAACACTTGGCTAACAGCCCCAGTTGAGCTACCAGCTGACAGCCAACAATTTATCCACCATATGTGAGCCAACCAACTTCAAAGTGGATCCCTGGCCCTAGCTGAACCACCCCAGTTGATACTATGTGGAGTAGAGATAGGCTGTTCTGGCAAGCCCTACCCAAATTGCAGAAGTGTAAGCAAGTAAATGATTGTTATTGTTTTAGTCACTATTTTTTTATTTTTATTTTTAGGCAGCATTAGATAGCTAATGAGTTGACAAGATTTGCTAAGGGATTCAATGTGGAGTGTGAAAGAAAGAGGATTATCCTAAAGTTTTAGACCTGGTCAAATAGAAAGATAAAGTTCCCATGTAATGAGATGTGAAGAATGTGCAAAGAGAAGGAGTTGAGGGTAATGAGTGGGGGAAGTACTTAGAAGTTTATTATTAGATATATTAAATTTGAGATGACTCTTGGAGACATATAAAAGGAGACTAGATAAAATCTCAGGGCTTTTCAAATGTTTTGACAAAAGCAATGTTAAACATTTATATATTTCATTTATGCACAAAAAGGGTGTGTCTGTGTGTGTGTAAAAATAAAACTCAAGTTCAGAAAACAATACTTAGTATTATCATATGCAAATGAATCCATTAAATCAAAGAGAGAAGAGAAAAAATATAAGGACTGAGTCTGGATCATTTCATGTTTAGAGATTAGGGAGAAGATGCACCCAAAATGAGAATGAGAAGAAGTGACTAGTGAGGTAAGCGAAATACCAAGATAGAAGGTGACTATTCAGCAAAATGAAAAAGTGTTTGAAGAAGGAAGAAGGTGTGTCATATGCTTGATGTGTCAATTAATGAGAACTAAGAATACAGTGACTACCAAAGCCACACTCAATGGTAAATCAACATAAATTGTTGGCTCCCTACCACTAAAATTGATTCTGAGGAAACCATAAAGGAAAACATGGTATCCAAGAAATTAAAAAATAAAAGAAAGAAACCCAGTGGAAAAAGACTCTTTTGAACTGGTAAATATAGGTGTAGTGCTGTAGTGTGTGTGTGTGTGTGAGAGAGAGAGACAGTATGTGTGTGTATGCAGGTGATGATGAGAAGGTTTTGGTTGTAGCTTGGGGAAGAGTAACAAGTCATAGCTGTGACAGGATAAGTTAGTGAAAAGCATTTCAAGGTCAGCTCCTCCTCTTCCCCATCATTAACTAAAAAATAATCAGTCCATCTCCTTGCTGTAAAAATAAGCAGTACTGGACAGCATGTAGAACAAAGGAATCATTTATATATTGCTGATGGAAATGTAAAAATTTTTACAAGGAGTTTGGAAAACATTATGATAGTTTTGTATAATATTACTGATAGACTGTGATCCATTCAATTTCACGTTTAGTTAAAGAGTTAAGTGAAAATTTTGTACCCTGTACAATGTACTAGAACATACAAAAAGTCTTCCTAGCAGAATTATTCATAGTACAAAAAAGAAAGAAAAAGAAAAGAAATAACCCAGTTCACCACTATATATGTGTCTTTTCAGATTCACTTCAGTCTACTTGCCCACTAGGGTTTGACTGATTGCTTAGTGGACTCCTGGCTACTTCTCCTCTCACCTTGTCTCCTACCATTCATTACCAGCTCTTTCAACCTCTTCTGCAGTAGGGACTGGGCTTGGGCATGGTTGATGTGTTCCACATAGTAGGAGCTGTAACACATCAGAAGCCCATATTTGACTTGCTTAGACTAATAAGGCTCGACCTAGCTTTTTCCACCATTTCTGAGTTCAGGGGAAGTGCTGTGCCACAGAGTGAGTGAGCTGGCTTCCCTAGAATTTGCCCAGAGGATTGGGTAACACAGTCCAAAAATTAACCCCCATGGGCATGGACTAATTAACAGGAGACAGAGGACTAAAAAGGCGAGCAGATAAATCCTTCCTTATCCCTGATAGCTGGTTCCACATGACCTGCCTGGAAGACTGTCCTACATGATAAGCCATCAACTACATTTTCTTATGAAATTATAGCCAGCTCAGAAACATAGTATCTGGTATAAGCTTTCCCTCATTCTCTGCCTCACTTTTTATTTTCACTCACTCTAGCTTTGCTGCGATTCCACCACCTCATTACACATACTTAGTATAGGAGCTTTGCTTCAGGTTTTGCTTTTCTAGGGAACATGCATAGGCTAAGACAGTTATTGATGAAGATTAGATAAATAAACTGTGGTATAGTCCCAGAATAGAATATTATGTAGAGGTAAAACGGACAAATTTCAGCTCTAGGCAACAATATGGGTAAGTCTTAGTACAGTGACGGTGAACCTATGAACTCATTTTTTTGGTTGATTTTTCTTTGTTAATTTTTTGGTTGATTTTTCTTTGTTAAATGGCATTTAAATATATAAAATAAATATCAAAAATATACATCTTTGTTTTACTATGGTTGCAAATATCAAAAAATTTCTATATGTGACACGGCACCAAAGTTAAGTTAGGGTTTTTCAAAATGCTGACACGCCGAGCTCCAAAGGTTCCCCATCACTGTCTTAATAAAACAATATTTAGTGAAAAAATGTATTAAAAGACTACATATAGCATAACAGCCTTAAAATATGTGTGTGATATATATATATATATATATGATATATATATATATATATATATATACACACACACACA